GTGGCGTGGTGATTAAGGTGCTGGACACTCCCATATGGCTGACCACAGTTTGAGTCTTGGATCTGGCAATTTGCTTTCTCACTTTCCCTCTCTCTCTCTGTGTGCTCGATTAGAGTTCCAGACCTGGCAGCTTGCTTCTTCACTTTCTCTTTCACTCTGTCTCTCTCTGTTCAAATTAAAAAATAATAACAAATGGAATTAAATAAATAAATATTTTTTAAAAAAACACCTCATGCCAGGTGCATGTATGTGTGTGCCCAAAATCCAGAGCATGCATGCCCTATAGTAAAAATCTTTTTCTAAAAAGGTGTAAAACTGAGGTTTTAGTTTTGTTTTTGTTTTTTAAAGGTTTTTGCCATAAAACATGTGTGCTAGCCTGAGAGGAGAAACAGACAGTGAGAGAAAAAGAGAGAAATCATCCCCCCCACCCCGGCAAAACAGCCACATCTCAATCCCTTCTCCATTTTCTTCCTGGGATTTGTGGGCACTCATGGACATGCACCCACATGACTGTCAAGCCTCCAGGCCCAGGACTTGAACCCTGGTCAGTCATGTGGGAGTCCAGCACCTTAGCCATTATGACACCTGCTGGCTCTAAAACTGAGGTTTTTAACCAGTAGATGTTAATCACTATATAATAAGGAAGCTAAAATCTTCAAAATAGAATAGAATTTTGAAGTATGACATCACACCTGCAAGAAGCATTTCCTTCCATTCTAATTGATTACTGTACCAGAAAATTCTCACCCAATCATAGTATTAAAAAAAGTCCATGGGATCAGCAGTTAGCATAATGGCTGGCGCTGAACTCCCATGTGGTCAACCGTGGTTCGAGTTCTGGACCCAGTGGCTTAAACTCACGCCGGGCGCGTGTGTATGTGTGCCCAAGATCCTGAGAGGAGAATGGAGGAGAAGGGATTGTGGCGTGGCCATCCCCCCAGAGGGGGATTTCTCGCTTTCTATCTCTCTGGCTCTCTCTGTCTTTCTGGTGAGTGCATGTGCCTAATAGCAAAAATCTCCCCCCCCCCAAAAAAAATGTCCATAATGGATAAGACTTTTGTGCTTAATGTTCACTAAAATGCATTTATAGCTTATTGAATAAACTATCATATATCCACGAAAAGGAACACTACGTAACTGTAAGGAATATTATACTATGAAGTAAATGCCAAAGTTAAGCAAAAAAAAAAAAAAAAGACAGAAAAACATGTAGAGTGAAATCTAAGAAAGAAAAAGTGTAACTATTGCCATATAATTAAAAATGTAAAAACGTTATCTATGGAGAAAGAAAAAGACAAACAGGGTGAAGGAGGCAAGGATAGAAAGAAGACTTCTTTGAATATACCTTGTTTTATAAGCTTAACTTTAAAAGCCTTTTAATATTTTACATAATTATTAAAAACTGAATTTTAAGAAAGTAATCATAAATACTGAAAGCAAAACAAAAGAACCATACTATGCATCTAGTGGTGGTGAAATAACACAGTAACTATTCTAAGTGACTTTAAAACACAATAATTTGACTACATATCCCTAATAAGAATGGAAAAAAAAAAACAAAATTCTTAAACAGTTTTCCCAGTTGGTGGTAATGTTCCTAGCCTTCTGAGACTGAGATGTGTACAATATGGGATAAAGTGAGTAATTAGAACCAAGATTTTTGGCTCAGAACAAAAAAAAAGATAAAGGTATAAGACTGTACAGGCATAAGACTCATATTGTTTTTGAACTGTAAAGACCTGGGAATGATTATCAACAAAATAGCAATAAGCAACCCAATGACCCAAATTATTTTTAAATATTTTTCATTAAAAAAAAAAAAAAAAACAAGAGACCAGCAATTGGTGTAAAGACTATGTCACTGGAATCCCATGCAGTTGACAGCAGTTCAAGTCCGGGACCCAGTGGCTTAAACTCACGCTGGGCATGTGTGTACGTGCCCAAGATCCCGAAAGGAGAATGGAGGAGAAAGAGATTGCAATGTGGCCACCACCCCCTGCTCGGGGGTGATTTCTCGCTTTCTGTCTCTCTGTCTTTCTGGCCAGTGCACATACCCTATAGCAAAAACCTCTTAAAAAAAAAAAAAAAAAAAAAAGGCCCCTTAGACAAATGGACAGAAAATGTGCAAGAAAATCTGGTGCAGTTTATCACATCAAAGGGAGATTAAAGTATTAAGGAGTTGAGTCTAGGAGTCAGCAGGTGGGTAGTGGTTAAGCTTCTGGACTCCCACATGGCCCACCGTGATTCCAGACCTAGACCTGGCAGCTTGAAACTCACACCAGGCATGTGTGCTCTATGTGTCCAAAATCCCAAGAGGAGAATGGAGGAGAAGATATTGTAGTGTGGCTATCACCCTGGTGATTTCTCACTTTCTCTGTCTCTCTCTGTGTCCTTGGTGAGCACACACACCCTACAGCAAAAATCTTTCTTTAAAAAAAATAAAGAGTTGGGACCAGCAGTTGGCATAATGGCTATGTCACTGGACTCCCATGTAGTCAACCGCAGTTTGAGTCCCGGACCCAGTGGCTTAAACTCATGCTGGGCATGTGTGCGTGCATACCCAAGATCCCGAGAGGAGAATGTGGAGGAGAAGGGATTGCAGTGTGGCCATCCCCCCGGGAGGTGATTTCTCACTTTCTGTCTCTCTGTCTCTCTCTGTCTTTCTGGTGAGCGCACGCACCCTTTTCAAAAAAATAAGTAAAAAGAGTTGAGTTTAAAGGACTTAGGAGTCGATATGAACAGATTCCTACTGGGCAAAGATGTGATAATATGGATATCGATAATAGTAATATCTACAATGGAGTAAAACATCAAATGCCTTAACTATTTTTTTTTTGAGAGGTTTTTTTCGCTATAGGGCGCATGCGCTCGCCAGACAGACAGAGACAGACAGAGAGAGAGAAAGCGAGAAATCATCTCCCAGGAGGGATGGTCATGCCGCAATCCCTTCTCCGTACTCCTCTCAGGATCTTGGGCACGCACGCACACGCGCCCAGCGTGAGTTTTAAGCCACTGGGTCCAGGACCCAAACCGCGGTCAACTACATGGGAGTCCAGTGACATAGCCATTATGCTAACTGCTGGTTCCCAATGCTTTAACTATTAATACATAAGTTCACAATGACACAAAGACATATACACAACCCACTGGGTACTTTTGAAGACAAGAGAGAATTAATTATTTTAGAACCTAGTAAACAGAGAGGAATTCTCTCTGTATATATGTGTGTATGAAATAGAGTAGAACATGAAAAGGAGGAATGAAAGAAAGAAAGTCAATTTAAACTCCAAGTTTCATATGATAAAATACTTTAGTATGGTCTGAAGGATTTCTGATTCAATACAATGACTACATGAAAAAACTAACATTAAAAAGAAACAGTTTTATGATAAAATCAGTGAACAAAACCTTATCATTTGAACAACAAACAAAACCTTATCAGCATCAGATAACATCAAAAAGTTAAAGAGAAAAATAATCAGCTGAGTAAGTGTTATTTTAGAAAGGAGGCTAGGGGGACCAGCAGTTAGCTACGGCTATATTGCTGGACTCCCATGTAGTCGACCTCGGTTCGAGTCCGAGACCCAGTGGCTTAAAACTCACGTCAGGCGCATGTACGTGCGTGCCCAAGATCCCAAGAGGAGAATGGATTGCAGCGTGGCCATCCCCCCTGGGGGGTGATTTCTCGCTTTCTGTCTCTGTCTCTGTCTGTCTAGCGAGTGCATGCACCCTATAGCAAAAAAACATGTCCAAAAAAAGAAAGAAAGAAAGGAGGCTGGGTAAAATCCAGATTCATGTCAGAGAGTCTCTGTAACTAAAACCTAAACACACAAATAGTAAACTATGCAAGTAAATCATACTACCTGTAGGGCTGTAGACCACATCAAAACTCTGAAAAGTAGATTTGACTGGCAAAACCAACCACTTCCTTAAAAAACAAGCTTACTATTCTAGTTTTCGTCATAGTCAGCCTCAAGAGTATACTAAGATTTTGGATTTTAAAAAATAGTTTATAAATCATTGGCATTTCTCCATTAATTAAAGACTCCAACTCTTAAATCCCACCCTCACACAATTCACCCTCTGCCTGAAATGCCCTTCCTTCTATATAGCCTGTTGAACTACTGTACATTCATTCAGGGCTTGTTTTCACTGGCGACATCTACTCATGTGTTTTGCAAAGAAGGGAGAGTGGATCTTTCAGCATTCTATTACCTATCCCCCTGACGATTTCAATTTTTCACACACTAAAAATCTCTCTGTAATAACTTTCCAGCAAGGCACACAGCTATCACCTCTTTTCCGTCTTTGAGGATATGATCATTGCTTTATCTCGTATAGGCATAAAATCATAGTCAGACCAAAACCAGCAGTTTCAAGGAGACCAAATATTTATTTCAAGCCAACACAAATCACCTACCCGATATACTGAGCCACAAATTACAAGAGTTAAAATTAAACTGCTATAGGGAGAGTCTGACACCTCCAAAAAAAAAAAAAAAAACAGGAAAGAAAAGAGGGGGTACCTCATCTCCAATAAAGTTCGAGGACTACATTATGATCCGTTGGCAGACTCAGCTTTTCTCTTTGGCAGAAGCTACCGTTTTTAAAAATGAGTCGGCAAGCAGATGCATTTGTCACATACCCCGGAGCTGCCAGCGCTTCGGGACGCGGACAGGGCCTCTCAGTAGCACAATGCTGACCTAACGTCCAGCTGGGATCCTCCTTAACACACGGACCTCCGAGGCCTCCAGCCAACCACAGAGAAGCCCACGTCCCTGGGACCCGGTCCTGGCGAAGGGTGTGCAGAGACGTCGTCTCCTCTGCACTGGGTCCAAACCCACCGCGGAGGGCGGGGACCACCCCTAAGCTGCCTGAGGCCCGAGGCCCACAGCGGCCTGCCCCACCGCCCTGCCCTGCACCCGTGCCGCACCCGCCTTCCGTGCTGTCAGGCGCGCCGCAGGCCCCGCGGCCCACGCCCGGCTCCGATTCTGACCCACCTTGAGGCGCCACTCACCCCGCCGCCGCGACCCGAGCCCGGCCTGGAGCCAGGGCCCTACCGTCGCCCCTGAAGCGGGCCTCACCTCAGAAGCGACTCGCGAGCACCGCGCAGGGCTCCCCCGACTGAGTGTGGCTGCAGACCGTCG